TATATATATTTATATATATATCACAACATGTTTAGTGCGGAACGTGTTCTAAGGTATACAGGGCTTTTCATGATGAGCGTTAATTAGCCGTTTCTGGCAAACTATCCAACGGTCTATCATTCCAATGAATGACCAACTGGATTTGAATAGATCACCATTATTGAACTTGTTTTCTTGAAAACCGAGAAGGAATTATTATTGATGTAGATGTTTTCAAACAAGATAAACGAAAACTGATGGCTGTGTCTGAGGGTCAAATTTTATGAAAAACTTAATGGTAAAAAATTTACTGCAACTTTTTTCCTGTAAATTTTTTTTTCTATGAAAACATTTCCAAAGCATTTTTTTACGTAGGATTCAACGGTGTAAAACACTCATTTTTTCAAATGAGATATCAATAGTCATTGATGGAAAATATTTTTTAGATGAGACACCCTGTATATTCCTGCATGTTTCAATAGAACTCAAAACTACCTTTCCAGTAATGTAGCCAGAGTCATCTTTGCAATGCAGAGTTTTTAGGTTTTATATCCATTTATTTCTTAATATCCTAAAAGATTGAGTTAAAAACCTTTCTCTTCTGGATGTAACACGTCATAGTCATGATTGACTTGGTCTTTCCATTTAAAAAACCACATGAGAGCTCTTTAATTCTTCGTGAAAAAGTTCCCCCCGTTTGGCCAATATAATTTTTTGATCAAAAGCCACACGTCAACTCATAGGCTCCTAATCAATCAAATATTGAAGTTCTGTTTTTATTGTTTTTAAAAAATTGCATGGTACGTAGCCTCATTCAACAAAATGTTTTTTGTGGTTGGGTTTTGCTAGCTCAACGTTGAGCTAGCAGATCTCACGATATCTCCGTTAAATGAGGGCAAAACATTCAGGAATGGAGAACAAAATGAGCCGAAAATCAATCTTAAATTATGGCCTGAAAATAAACACAAAAATTCATTAGTTTGAAAAAAATAAATACCTAAATTACACATTATCAAAAACAAAATAATTGTTAGAGAATATTTTCCTAATACCAGTTCTCCATGATACCATTTTCATGTGCTTATATCATATTCAGTCGGCTTTTCCACATTTTATCAGATTATACACGGTTTCAATAACTTCTGGATATGGTTTAATATTATGCTTACGTTTAGTTTCAAAATATTGCACAATCGAAAATTTTATTGTGCAATGAGTATTTCATAGTTTTCGTAAATAGTACTTCAGCAGATGATAAAATCCGAGCTGGTAGGCCATGGTTGAATGCAACCAAACGTTTCATCCGTTACGGCGGCAGACATCATCAGTAGTATGTGCGTTGACTGCTAAATAACAAAGTTTTCGTTGAAAAATGGAAATTTATCGATAAAATATTGAGAACTGTCAGTATTTCTTTTGTGAAAAAAACCAAGGCAATGTAACACAAGTCGAATCATACAAATTGTGTGCTCAGGATTCGATGAATTCGACGAAAGTCGTTTTTGCCTGGTCCTGGTTGGCGAAGCTTCTACCGGTGGGACAGTTATCGAAGAGCTTGAAAAGATGATAGTCCATTGGCGAGAGGTCTGGAGAGTGTGGTGGGTGAGACAGAACTTCGTTTGATTTTGGAACGGTGATTTGTGAAACGTGCGGACGGGTGTCGTCGTGGAGCAGTGGGAAGTGCTTGTAATGTAACCACTGTTTTGAACGTCTCTTGTTGTCTTAGATGATCCACCGCATTGAAGCTGACGACTAGTTCTTCCGATATCGCACGCACCGTTTGTGATGGATCAGTCTCCATCAGGGTCCTCAAGTCCTCGTCCTGGATTACTGGAGGTCGATCACAACAGAGCTCATCTTTCAGGCTAAAATCCTCATCACTTTTCCATTGTTTTGGAAAATATAAACATTTTGTTAGGGGCTCTAAACAAAGATTATTCTCTTCTCCAAACAACTTACTCAAGATAAACGGAAAAAAAATGTCGATTTTCAACTAAACAAATCAGAAAATGTACATAGCAACCAAGACTTTCTTTAGCAACGGAATTGGTAATGTGAGCAGTGCTATGCAATTGAACAATCACGTCAACATCATATATCTCATTGTGCACACAGTTACGAGGGTGGGCTAAGAATTTTCCGACGTAACAAAAGTACAATTAATTTTTTCAGACTTTTTTCAACCTCTGGTAAAAGTCCATTATATCTCAAAGTGGAGTGCAGTAGATTTGCGAAGAATAAAAACTCAAAGTCGTCTCCACAATTCAATGTCAACATCAGATGTTAGAGCGGTAAAACCATCAATCAGTACATGTTTCGAACCTATATAGGTTCATCATCAGCTAATATTTACGTTATGAAATGAAATAATTTTTTTTTCTTCATAATTTTAAATATCAGCTGATGATGAACCTATATAGGTTCTAAACATGTACTGATTGTACTGGTTTTACTGCTCTAACATCTGATGGTGTCATTAAATTGTAGAGACGACTTTGAGTTTTTATTCTTCGCAAGACTTTTTTTATTTTTCAACATAGTCCCCTTTGAACTTTACACATTTCTCCCAGCGATGCTCCCATGTCCATAACCTGTCCAAATATTACTCGGCGTTTTTCTGAAGAAGACCCCATGCATTGGCTCATCCCAGTGTCTCCGCAGAAGTGAGGTGATCTCTGCGGCTTTTATCTGAGCTTTTTGGTGAACGGGTTCCAACTCGGTGACAGAGTTGTAGTCACCTCGTTCAGAATCGAAAACTATACCGAGTCCATCAGCTGCTCGAGCAGCTGCCCTAAGGAGAAATGCTCCAATTCCTGCTCTCTCATGGTCACGGACCATGCAGAGAAGGGGATCCGAACTCCTGACGACTTTACAGGCTGTATCCAGTACCATTCTGTCATGTAGACACTCCAAACTCAAAAGTCCACGACCTCCCTGTTGTCGGGGGAAGTACAACCGTGGAACGGACGATTTGGGATGCAAACTCCTATAGAGATGCATCATTTTTCGGGTCCTTACGTCGAGTTGATACAGCTCCTCCCGAGTCCACTTCACTACTCCAAA